CTTGATCCAATCACTTTAGAAATCTTCGAACACCCCATGCGGCAGTCTCTTCAGCCTGGTGAGTTCGAAGGCTCGATCCCGCGAGTGCGGGTCCACTGCTCCCGTGAGGAGAGATTGAGGCTGTTCAAGCTCCTAGACCAGTCCCGCAGGATCCGGCTGTTCCCAGCTGAAGAAGTACGTGCAGAGTTTGGCTCAGGCGTTTTTGCCGTGCTCAAATCGTTGGAGCTAGACCGCATGATATTGGATTCTCGACCCCACAATCTTCTCGAAGTACGTCCTGGCAGGTTTATTCAGTCTCTCGGATCCGGAGAAGTGCTGACGCAGCTGCATTTGGAGGACAGCGAGCGACTGTACTTGTCATCGAACGACATTCGAGACTTCTACCATCTGTTTCGTGTTAATACTGAACGATGCAGGAGAAACGTTCTCGCGGGGACCATTACACCGAAGGAAGCTGAATGCTTAGGTTGTTTCCAAAAGTACATGTATCGCCATCCTGAACTTCATGTCGGATTATCCTGTTTGGCCATGGGTGATACACAAGCTGTGGAGTTGGCACAAACATGTCACTTAGGCTTATGTGTCCAAAAGAAGATCGTGAGCAAGAACACGTTGGTTTCAATGAGTTTGCCGATTCCCCGGGGAATGGTTGGCTGTGGCATTGTGATAGATGACTTTGTCAGCTATGCCATCGACTCCCGAGGCTCCGCGGAGGTGGATTCTCAACCTACATCTGGAGCGCTTCTCGCGGACCAGGCCCAGGAAGCCTACCGAGAGGTCGAGCTCATTCCTCATGATGATAAATCAGTGCGAGACTCGCTCAGGTCTGAAGTTTGGGGTGCCTTGGTCGACGGCGACAGAGGGTACATTCGAGGCTCGTTGAAGAGGGCTGCACCTTTGTCGCGAATCATCCTGAGCGTCCTTCAGATCGGAGCCGTGACTGCAGGTCTGCTGGAAATCATCGCAGGTGGTCTCATTGCTCTCTTCATTTACCGCAGGCGACTCATGTCGCTTCTTGAATCAGTCTTTTCTGAAACACGGGGACGAGAGCAGGATGAGGCTTTCATGCTGAACGAGAAGCTCCGCGAAGAGCTTATTCTTGCGCTAGGGCTGATCCCCACCGCAGTCGTCGAGCTCCGGGCTAAGTATTCTGATAAGGTCTACGCTGTCGACGCTTCGAATTGGGGAGAGGCCGTTTGCCATTGTGAAGTGGGAGCCGATTTTTCGAAAGAGCTGAGCAGGCACTCGCTTCGCAAAGGTGTGTGGTCGCGACTGCTGAGCCCTGTAAAGGCCAGAGAACGCGGGCACGGCATTCTTGATCCCGACCTTGAACTACCTGGAGGCTCTGAAGCTCAGTTCCGAGCTCATCCCATCTGGGTCGCCTTGAATACAGCAGGTCGGTTCAAGCTGTCGTGGTCCAAAGCTGCGAAGCGGAGGAGGCACATCAACATAGGGGAGTTGCGTTCATTCCTGAAGGCAGAGAAGATTTCGAAAATCCTGGGGTTTCCTACTCGGTCTGCTATCGGAGGCGACTCCCAGGTGGCGCTGGGGGCCGTTCTCAAAGGACGGTCAGCAAGTCCGAGCTTGAACAAGGAGCTCCAGGGCTCGATACCGCATGTGATTGGAGGTGGGCTACAAAACTTCTACCTTTACTGCCCGACTAGCATCAATACAGCAGACGCTCCGACGCGAGGCCGATCTGTACCTCCACCGCGAGCTCCTCTTCCAGAGTGGTGGGAACCTGCCACTCGAGGTGATTTTGAATTGCTTGACTCTTGGTTGGACGCCGCCCAGGTCGACCCCTACACTTTAAGTGGTCTCCCTTCGTTGAGCGAGATCGCCAAGGACATCCAGCGTGAAGTTGAAGCCCAAACCACGAAGCATTTTCGAAAGGAAGTGCGTAAAAGTCGTGTTGCTCTTTGCAAACCTCACGAGTGTCAGGCATTTGTCTCTGGAACTGCTGGGGATGATCCTTTTCAAGTTCAGGCGTCTGGTGGCCTTGTAATCTTTCCAAAGTCGTGTGATGAATCACTGTGTTTGAGGCGCCCGGGGTATCTCGACCTCTTCTCTGGAGCAGGCGGAGTAGCTCGAGAGACCGCGAGATTGTCTGGGAGATGGGTTTTGTGCTTTGACATCCTCAACGGGAATTCTCAGGACCTACTTGATCGAGAAGTGCAAAACCGCATTAGGCAGCTGCTCCTGAACGGTGCTTTCGTTGGCTTCGGAGCTGCTCCCGTTTGCTCCTCCTTCTCTCGAGCCATCACTCCTCCCTGGAGGTCGGCTCAGTTTCCACTGGGAAAGCCAGGACTGACTCGGGATCAAGCTCTAAAAGTCGAGAAAGGCAACCAACTTGCCAAGTTCATGTGCGAGCTGATTGAGTTGTGCATCGATCTTCGTTTGTCATTTTGGATGGAAAACCCTGCTGCGTCTTTTCTCTGGAGCACACCCAAACTGCGCAGGCTTTCAGAGCATCCCAGTGTCGGTTTCTGGTCGTTTGACTTTTGTGTCTTCGGGGCACCTTGGCGAAAAAGGACAAAAATCTTCACCAACACCTGTCTGAGGCATCAGAACACCTTCTGTAGAGGCGGACACGTGCACCAGATCTTACGCGGCAGGTCCACCTTTCACCGATGCTCTTGGACGAAGGTAGCCGGACCTTATCCTCGGCGGCTCAGCCTCTGCATCGCAATGGCCCTTACTGCAGGTGCTGGTGATCGCGCAGAGAGTTTGAGGAACTTGCGGGAGGTGCCTGCGCTTCGGGTCTTCATGCCCAAGCGCACGACTGCTGCTGAACGGGCCGCTTTACGGGCCGGAGTGCGTCTAGAAGCTGTTTCCCTCGTTGAAGCAAAGACTGAAAAGCTCGAAGTCAAGCTTTGGGAGGGTTTTCTAGAATGGCTCCAAGAAGATTGTGGATCCGACGCCGCCAGAGAACTTTGTGCCTTGGCAGCTACTCTGGCCCCGTTGCTCCAGCTCTACGGCGAGCATCTGTTCTCAGTGGGCGCGACTCTGAGTGCTTATACGCACATTATTGCTTTCGCTCAGCGGCGCCTGCCAGATTTCAAGTTCCATTCAAAAGTCTGTTGGGATTATGTCAGCAAATGGGAAGCCATCGAACCGCTCGTTCACAGAGCTCCTATACCCGAACAACTTTGCGATGCCATGGCATCGTTAGCCCTTGCGTGGGGCTGGCCACGATTTGCGTTGATCCTCTTGATTGCCTACCGCGGGATTCTTAGACTAGGTGAGGTCGCCAGAGCAAGCAGGAGTGACCTTGTTCTGCCGAGCGACCTTCTCAGTGACACAGTCTCGCGGTTGTTTTTCCGAGTACGGCAGCCTAAGACTGGAAAGCGTGGAGGAGGACGACAGCAGCACGCCAGTGTTCGAGATGAAGCTGTTGTTCGGGCCTGTGAAAGTTTGTTCGGCTCAGCTTCTCCTGACACAGCTTTGTTTCCTCTTTCCGTGCAAACCTTCCGCAGACGCTGGGATCAGATCTTAGATGCCCTTGAAGTTCCGAAAAGCCTCGGGCTGACCCCTGGAGGCGTTCGCGGAGGTGCAGCTGTCAGTGCCTACCATCACGGCGCACCGATCTACGAACTGCTCTGGCAGATGAGGATACAGCATATTCCGACTTTACAGCACTATCTCCAAGAGATGGCCGCAGAAAACGTGTTAGGCCACCTTTCGTCTTCATCGAAGCGGGCGATCACGAGTGCCGCATCGTGCTTGCCTGTTTTTCTTGCGGCGGTTTGATTGCTGCCGAGGACCCGACGGGTACTTTCTGCACCTGTCCATGGCAAAAGATACTTGCATCTTTTTCGTGCAAGCAGCTTCTCGTACCTCGAAGCGGCCTGCTGATGAGTGGTGGAGTGCAGTTCCTTCTTGCAGCTTCCGCTACAACCTTCCAACTACAGTGAGTTCGAAACGTTCCTCGACTCTGCCTACGTAACGAAGGCTGGTGGCTCTTCTTTCATCGGTCTGAGTTGCAAGTCGAAACGTTCGCTTTTGAGAGAGAAGGGTAGCTCGCTGCTGCCTCATTTGGAGGCTTAGCACAACTCGTCATTGGGCTGCGCAGCAAAAAGAAGGGACGCCAGCTTTGGAAAGCGCGCTAACATGCCCCACATGTTTGCAAGTGATCCTGCTGGCAGCTTTGAGGGCCCTCCCGCCCGCCCGGAGTGCAGTTCCTTCTTGCAGCTTCCGCTACAACCTTCCAACTACAGTGAGTTCGAAACGTTCCTCGACTCTGCCTACGTAACGAAGGCTGGTGGCTCTTCTTTCATCGGTCTGAGTTGCAAGTCGAAACGTTCGCTTTTGAGAGAGAAGGGTAGCTCGCTGCTGCCTCATTTGGAGGCTTAGCACAACTCGTCATTGGGCTGCGCAGCAAAAAGAAGGGACGCCAGCTTTGGAAAGCGCGCTAACATGCTTTATCTGCCCGGTCTGCTGTGTTGTAGCAATAGGACTGGTCGGCAGAGTGCCTTGACTGCGCTGAGTGATGGGTACCACAGAATATGACAGCAAGCACAGTCACAGTCTGTCTATCTTGCCTGGGCTCCGCCGCTCCCCACCCAGGCTGCACGCAGCAGATAGGGAGCTCGAACTCCGGAGGCATCAAATCTTGAGGCTGCAGATGGAGTTCCTTGGAAGAAGAAGCCTGTGCAGCTCTACCCCACTCGCATAACTTTAAGATGACCAGGAATGAGAAAGCCCGGAACGACCAGAAAGCCAACCTCAAGTTCTACAAGGACAGCGGGCTTCCTGTTTCGACTTTTGGACGTGCTTGCGGGTGCGCTTGCTGCCTACCTGCGAGGCAGCCTACGCTCGCCTCCTGGACGCAAAGAATCAGGCGGCCGCTGCCACCTGACTTGCAGCAATGCATCCTCAACAGCCTCGTGCGATGTTTTGACCCATGTTTTGTTGGCCATGTTGAGGCAGACTTCGGGCCATGTCTAGTGGTGTTCCGACTCAATAGCTCACATCGCCGATGCTCGATATTCCATACTTGCATGGTGAAGCATGAAGAAGCATTCGCTGAGGCGGCGAGACTGCGCGAGACGCAGCTGATGGGCGAGCGTGAGGAACTTCGCAAGCTGCTGGCAGCCAGCGAGATCCGTGCCCAGACGGAACTTGCAAAAGCTCTCTGCCACAGGCGTGTCGGTAATCAGCTTGGATGCCGTGGACATGGCAGGCCTGCGAGAGACCACGGCGACTCTGGAAAGCCGCGCGGCGAGCGCGGAGCAGCAGCTGCAACTCCACGTGGCCAAGCAGGCCCGCGATGCTGATCACTTGGCACGACGTGTTCAACTTCGAGCGAATCGCTGCTCTGAGGCTGCTTTGACAAAGGGATTGGAGGAGCCTGGCTTGCTTGCAAACTTCGGGCATCTGTGCTGGTTGGTTGCCTCCCAGGAAGCCTGCAACAGGGCTTGCCAGACAGATGGCGAGGACAGGTTGTGACCTTTGCTGGCTTTGGCTGAGAGCTGCGGCCAAGACATCTGCGGAGCTCGCAGGAGCACGTGACGTTGGAGGCAGCTTGCCAAACATACAGCGAGGACTGCCCTGCCTGTCGTCACGATGCTACGGTCAGTTCGGCACACGTGCTGTGGACTGATCCTGCAGACACATCGAAGCAACAGCACTATGGTCGAGGATTCGTTGCCGGAGACCTCGGCCGAAGATGGTGCTGGGGAATTCACCCATTCCGACCTCCTCATGCATCTCTGCTTTCATGGCCTTTCGGTTCCTTTCGGCGAAAGCGCTGCGTATCAATAACAGAATCGGATTAACAAAACCCCAGCAGCGGCCAGCAGCAGCAGCACTCCTCCGGCTAGTCAACATCCTACACCCCAAGACTTTTGCAACTTTGGCAGCCGCATGTCTTCGGTCCGGAAAGGCTTGAAAAGCAACGAGAGAACGGAGCCACCATGGGTTCCATTGGTGCACACATGCTGGATTCCGTCGCTGAGACGGCGAAGGCTCAGCCTCCACTCGTTGCACGTTGGTGAGACTCATGCCTGTTCTCTCGCCGTTGTAGAGTCTTGCGCGAGGCAGCCATCGATCCGTTCCATCCGTCCTTCGAAGCTTTGCGACTTAGCCGCCAACCAGCCCGAAGCGGGTGCAACTGCTTTGATGTTTGAAGCGATGGCCAGTGCCACCGTCCGGCACATGAGCAGGTGTCGAGGCCTGTTCTGTTACAGCATCTCTCCGTGGCTCGTCTCCAACTAAAGTGGTGTCAAGGAGGTAACATGTAGGTCTCGCGACACTGGGCTAGCATCCGATGGGAGCATCTGCACCTGCCCGAAGGTTGATGATATTATGGAGTGGCGAGTGACTTGCTGTCAGACCGTTCAACCCAAGGCTGGGAGCTTTGTGTTCTGCTTGTGTCCAGGAGTTTGTGTAAGCAGTGTAATCCGTTGTTCGATTATGAAGTACGTTATTGCGCAACCTGAGGTCTTGATACATCACCTCTCTGAAATGGGCAGGTTGGACAGGCACGGTGTTGTCCGCCTTCGGTGTGCGACGCACGAGATGTCGTGCACATGAGTTACAGCACGCAGGTCCCAGTCAATCATCGATTTTTCGGTGCAGTTTGACTTCGCTGCAACAGACCCGGTCACCTCCGAAGTCCAAATGGCAAAGGATTGCCGACAAAACAAGCTCTTTGAGTGTCTCTTGGCCTTTGACAAGCTGTTGCATGAAAAGCAAGTCAAAAGCACTGAATCATTTTTTCTTCCCAGGCCGCTGGTGGTGTATGAGGCTGGCGTGCGCGGACAAAACCCATTTTCCAGAAAGTGATGTAAACGACATCGTCACCGAGAACCTTCGATCTCTCTTGGTGCACTGCTGTGACGTGGATGTATCCGTGAGACTTGCTGCGCACCATCTTGTTGAGAACTATGCATGTGGCGGCCTGCCTTTTGTGCAGCAATTGATTGCCGAAGCCATGCTTGACCGGATGGAAGACCTGCTGCCAGAGTCCGTTGAAATCAGCAAAGAGGCCCTGGAGCAGGCAATGCAGTGTGCAACGCATCTTACTAGCATTCTGCGTGCACTGACGAAACCTCAACGTCAGAAGTGGGTGTCCTTGCTGGTCAGAGCCCTCCAAAATGTGGAGCAGGACCAAGACCAGGAGACACTGATTTCTGATCTGAAGATCCTGTGGCGAGTTGATGGCGATCCCCGACGAAGCTATGCGGAAGCAGAGCAGCAACTAAAAGCTTTCTCAATGCATGCCAACAGGCATTTGCAGACGGAGATTTGGCATCTCCACTACTGCTGAATTCTGTTTCACAGCCAAGTGTTCGACGATTTCAGACGGTAAAACGGGAGAGCACATATGGCCCTTGCTTTCTTGGTGAATGTCGCATGTTGTGAGCCTCGTGTGCCATGGGGTTTGGAGTTTTTGGGCCATCTACTTGACATGTTCGGCTACCCGCTGTGCCATGGGGTTGGGCTATTGAAAGGGTGATTGGGCTATGAAACCACGCACGCTCGTCGCCGTAAAAGGCTCGCAGTATGCCAAAACATGTGAAAGCCAAAGGCCCATCGAGGGCCGTTGCCTGAGAGGGGAAGAGGGGCGAAGAGGAAGGGAGAGAAGGGGGGAGGGGATGCTTGCCGCCACGGCATTCCACGTGTCTGTATTAGCTTTGGTGCTATCTCCGGGCTTCGTACTGATACTAGACTGATGCTAGTACGCATGGTTGCATTTGTATTGATATTTCTTATGAGTGCTTGTGTGAATAATATGAAGATTACTATCAGTCCTAGCATGTGCATTTGTATCATGAGTATCAGCATCAGCAGTAAGAGACCGCTTGAGGACACATACCCGGCTGCGAACGGAAGAAGACAGGACATATCAGGACATTCAGATGTCAAGCAGTGATGCATCAGGACCCGATGATAAACCATGTACGGAAGCCTGTTTGTTTACTATTTCGAAACCCTATGAAACTCTTCTAATGGTCTTGCTAGACCCTTTTAATATAGGGACATAAACAGTGCCCCTTCGTGGATCGTCCACGATAATACAAAAGACTGGACAAATTAACCATATCTATTTTGTAGAGTTCCTTCCCACAACTATGGTTTGAAAACAAGCGAAACCGATCTTAATCATTAAGGCCTCCCGTATAAGGTAGAAACACAAATAATTACTAAAAACAATTTATGTTGGGTTCCTTACTCTACCTTTCAAAACATCACCTTTACCGGTTCCTGTAACGATGACCAACGCCACGCAGGTCGTGGCGAGCATAGCATGATCAGGAATCCAGTGCCCACCCGCGCCGAGGCCAGCACTGCTCGCAAAGCAGATGCATCTTGGCATTTTACGGGACTTGCACCCTGAGTGTTGTCGACTTTGAGCTTTGGGTGGTGTAGTGCTTGTCGGTGCCAGAGATGCCAGTACTGGTGAGCATGCGGTATAGCATGCACTCGTTGTCGCTAAAGTGAGCTACGTATGTGGTGTTTCCTTGGCCCAGGCCACGTCAAGGGCTTTGGCCCTCGGGCATTGTATTCCGTCCGTGAACATGCTTCATGGTGAGCTGCGCCGCGAGTGCAGCGATTCGACCAGGTTGTGGACGAAGCGAGCAAGCCACGCGAGCTGGATGACAGCCGAAGTAGAACCAAGACCGTGGCAAGCTTGCGCCCTGCATCCTGCACCGACGACATGCTGGCGAAGATGATCCAGGCATTTGATGTTCAGGTAAATGTGTCACGCACAGCGCAGCGTTCAGTTCGTAGGCCAGCCCTCGCAGGCTGGCACATTTGGCACAGACATCTTCATACTCAACTGCTCACACCGACTTCTCCCGAGGAGAAGCGACCCAAGATCTGCCCGAAGATCGAGAAGCCTCAGGCTTCCGCGTCATCTTCGATGTTTTGATTGCTTTTGTGCAGCATCATGCTGGCCTGATTGTGTGGTCTGTTCAAGGCCCTCACCAACATCGACGGCATCATCGCCGAGTCGCAGGCCCTGATGGCGGCCCGAGGCGATCTGGGCGTGGAGCTGGAGCTCGAAAGAGTGGCCAAGGCTTCGCAAGTTCCAGTTCTTATGTCAGTTCTTATGTACATAGACACATAGAGCTATGCAAGAGTTCGCAGTTTGCACTCTGTGCCGACTGCTGCGAGGATGCCGGACTTTTCGTCATCAACGCCACGCAGATGGTCGAGACGGTCGAGAGCATGTGGCTTGGCGGAGCGCAATGTGTAGCGGTGTAGCGGCCTCCACTGGGGCCTTACGGTGCAAGTGCAGGGCGACCAGATCCATCGAGCAACAATTCAATAGAGGGAATAGGAGGAACCCGTCACCGGTTTGCCAAGCTTGGCAAGTATCGGAGGTAGCCTGGTGTTGTTTCGTAAGAAGCCACATGTCACACGAGTCACATTGCACTGTCGGAACTTTGCAGTTTCCGAGGATCGAGAGCCCGGTCCCGACCCGGGCGGAAGTTAGCGATCTGCAGAACGCCATATGGGACGGCACCGAAGCTGAGAGTGTGCCCGGGCCTGCACCAATATCAGACAGCTGAGTGTTGTGGACAGGGTTGTGAGAGCTGCTTGCAGCTGCCTTCCGACTGGGAATGAAGTCGTCCGAGAAGCGCAAATCATGCTAGTTCGTGAAGACCCCGACCTTTAAAACGCTACGTCCCGGTGGCAGAGGGGTCTGGAGAACTCCACCTGTTCAACGATGCAGGAGGCTCTGTCCCAGGCTCTCTGGGAATGTAGCACGTCACTCAGGAGATGATTACCAAGTTCTGGCCGGCCAGCAGCCCCAGTTTCTCTCGTGCTTTCGCCACTTCTTGCAATCTTGCAGCATAGGTTTCGCATGCGAGCTTGAGTTCGACGTGAAAGCTCTTTATTATTGGGATCTGATGGAAGTGTATGCGGTTCCGGTGAGTGCGTATTTTGAGTTTTACTTCGGTGCTTCTGCTTCTGGGTAGGGTGTTTTTTTTGCAGTTCCAGGGGCATCTGGAACTGCAGTTTTTGCCTCATACTGGCAGGTTTTGTTCTGGGAAATCATCGTTTATGCTGCTAGCTTTGGGGGTTCTTATACTGTGGTTCGCGCTACTGTCCGAGTTCCCTCAGACAGTTGTGACATTCATGCCCGCAAGATGATAACGCCCGTGCTCTCTGTGTGTACTGTGGCACATGACACCGTGGGACGGAGCATCCATGTTGCCCACGGGTTTGAGGCTGAGGTGGGTTGAGGCCTGCTTGGGAGGGTGGCTTCAAGATCGCCTCAGGCCACTCCAGAATGGTGGCCAGTATGGACGGCATCCCCACCGCTTTTGACATTGCCAGCCTCGGCCGCGGACATCCCAGCGTCAAGTTTGACTTCTGAGGATGCGCGGCCATTCTGGATGGAAATGGCAGAGGGCGATGAAGGTGTCCCTCCTTTTGATGCGCCATTGGCAGGGAGGCATGGGCGGGCTCGGTCATGCTCTTGAGCAAGCAAGAACGTTGTTGTGTCCTGGGCGTGGCATGGTTGCTCAAACGCTTTTGGTCAGTACTAAGTACCTGCCATGACTAAGCCATCGACTCAGGTATTGACTCGAGGGCCTTCAGTAGCCTTCGCCTTCCCGATTGGTGCTTTGACAGCTGCCGTCAGCGAAGGGACGACTTTAGTCCATCTCCAAGGTCCAGTTGTCCCTTGGCTGTGCAAATCTGCAAGTGACTGCAAGTGCCCAAGCAGACGCTGTTCTTCGCCTTGTGCTGAAGGGTTTGACGGTCCTGGGTCAGGCGGCTCGCCCGTGTCAAGCGGGCCGTCTTCACCGGCACTCAGCTGCTTCCACACGCCGGTGCCTTCGCCTTCGTTGCGTTCGGCGAGGCCGAGGTCGCCGCCGCCCAAGGCCAAGGCTCCGGCGGCGCCGGCGGCTCGCTCTGCTCAGCGCATTTCTTGGGCCGATCTGGCGGAGGAGGCTCAAGGGCAGAGGGAGGGAAACCCGGCAAGTGCTCGATGGCTTCTCCGGCACGCGCTTGACAGGAGGAGGAAGAGGAGGAGGAGAGTCTGCAGGCTGCATCCGCCCAAGCCCGGGTAAGCTGGGCAGACTTGCAAGATGACACCGTAGAAGTGTCGTGGCAGTGGAGCTAGAGCCCTCACGGCTTTCCGCAGACTTTGGAGAGGCTGCGAGCCGGAGGGATGCAATGGGCCGTGAAGGGTGGAGCGGGACAGGGAGCACGGGCCTTAACTTAAGCCTCAGTGCCAGGATCGAATGAAGATAGATCTCCTAGAGGACCTGTTGAGGCTTGACACTTCACGTGCCATAATTACCAATATGCCTTGATTTACCTGAACTGAATGCACTTGATGTGCATGCTGTCCTGATGCCACTACGGCGGGACTGCGAGTGTGGAAAGAGAGATCTCCGTGCATGCACATGCCGCTCAATCCATCAATCAGTGAATCAATGAATCAAACAGTCAATCAGTCGATGTACGTCACTGCAGGAAATCTGGCTCAAGCCGGTTTTTCTTAGACAGGGACCATGCTATCACGGAAGTTCGAGGCCGCAGCAAGCTCTTGTTTGCCCTCTTGTTGTTCTGTTGTCCCTCTCGGAGGCAGATTTGGAGTCAGGTTGTAGAGCGTAAAACGTAGATGCCCATGACCAGCAACGGCTTTTTGTTTCAGACATGTTTACGTCTTTTGCATTGTTTGCAGCTGGGGTGCAGGCGCGGCGCCTCCTATTCGCCGCTTCCTTGGCAGCGATAGTTGGTGTGTGGACCCCAGCAAACAAGGCAGCAGCTGCGTGCAAACCGGTAGTACCCTGACGTGATTGTGAGCACATGCCAGCCATGCAATGGTAGTGTAAGTTGGCTACAGTGAGTTTTCTGCAAGGCCTGTGGTGTCCTTGGCTTCGTTCAGCCGATAGGAGGTGCAGCCTTCGGCCAGTGCTGTAAACTCCATGACTCCGTGAGGAGGGTATCAGTTATCAGTACTGCAGCTATGTTGTTAGCCTGGGAACATGGCTCTGCTTCAATGGGAGAGAAGGGTATAGAGAGAGAGAGGTTATTTTGCTTGCACACTCGCGAGAGACAGGCAGCCGGACAGGCAGCAACAGGGTCGGAGACGGAGTGAGAGGGGATCAGCAGAGCAACAGTGACATGTCAAGAGGTTTTTTTTTG